CAACATAGGGCCATAACCTGAGAGAATCGGGAAGCGCCAAGTGTCCAATTAGGATGGCTCAGGGGCCAACTATATATAGGCTGACTAAGTCGGGACGCTAAACCTAAACGGGATGGAATCCTGACACGAAGAGTTTGCAGCTTCTTTTTGCTTATATTTGGGTGTGTTTGATGCTGCACGTGGTCGACATGATTGATACCTGCAGCCTGTCACTCTCAAGACTCCAGCATCTTTCATCCAGCTGTCTCATCAGCCAGGATCAGAGTGGATACTACTGAAAAGCAGTCGGTAGTTGTACGGGGTACTAATTGTACTTATCCAATGGATGGACATCAAGTGAAACTGTGAAAGGCCTCGATTCAGGATAGTCCGGAGCTTCCTCCGCTATATCTTACTTAGTGTTATCCGCACTCACTGCATGTTCCTGAGATATAGCTAGTGAACTCGACGGGGTCCTGGTTTGTATCAAAAACAACATGCTGTGGACAAAATGGTTGTCGGGACCTTCATTGGTCTAGTACTTTGTTTACCCCAGACTGAGTACTACAACGACCGATCGATGCTGGTGAGACATGCGACCCTTGTCAATAATGTCCATTCTGATGATATTGTATGTCAAAAGGAGGTAAATCGCCTCTGCTGCATAAGATCGGTCTCCGAAATCTACGTCTAATCTATTTCATGATCATACTGACAAGCAGAAAGCTTCTTCGAACCCACCGTCAAGGTCCATTCTCACTCGCCCGTTTATACCGATCCAATGCCTGGCCTCTGCTCTTTGAGTGATCCACCATCGGGCGTGGATACCCATTCTTCTCTGCAATGGCCCCCGCTCCTCGTGCGTAGGGCTCATGTATCGCCGGCCCTTTGATACCACGCAGCTCTGGCACCCACTTTCGGATGTACTCCCCATCTGGATCGAACCGTTCGCTCTGACGGAGCGGATTGAAGATTCGGAAGTATGGCTGAGGATCCACACCTGTACTCGATCCGAATCCCCAGCCGCCGTGGTTGGACGCAAAGTCCCCGTCGATGAGATTCTCCATGAAGTATCGCTCGCCGCGGCGCCAGTCGATAAGCAGATCCTTTGACAGAAAAGAGGCGACGACCATGCGCGTCCGGTTGTGCATCCATTTGTCTTGCTTCACCTGACGCATGGCGGCGTCCACGATGGGGAAGCCGGTTTTCCCTTGGCACCAGGCCTTAAACTTGTCCTCGTCGTACTCCCATTCCAGGTTGGTGAACTCAGGTTTAAAGCATTTGTTCATGCTACTCATGTTAGATATGTCGCGAAAAGGATAAACTGCAGTCTCACCAGATGAATGGCCAATGCACGAGGACATGTTTGTAGAACTCTCGCCAGGCCACCTCACTGATCCAGTGAACCAGACCGGGGTCACCATGCTGCAGTGAACCCTTGTTGACCTTGCGGGCGTGTTCGACTGCCATTCTCGCGCTCAGCGAGCCGGACGCGAAGTACGGACTGAGGATTGAGGTCGTCTGTCCGCACACCATATTCCGTGCGTCCGCATAGTCCCTTACCTTCTCTTCCAGAAACACCTCCAGCCGACGCAGCGCCTCATGCTCGCCTGCTGGATATAATTGACCAAGGTACTTCTTCTCTTCCTCCGACAGCTGCTTGTTCTCTGGTGCCTCAGGAACCTCGCTGTCAAACAACTCTTTGAAGTGCTTGCGCGCATCTCCCGGATTTGGACCCGGCTCCTCTGACAGTTCCAGGCAATCGCGATTCTTGTTTAGATGAGCGAGCCACGCGCGGTACCAGGGACTATACACGGCGTACTGTTTACCTTGCTGGCTGGCCACCTGTCCGGGGGGGACAACGCACGCATCGTGGGCGGTCTCGAACTTGATTCCATTCTTCACGCACAGCCTCACCAGCTTCGCCTCGAGTCGCAACTCGTCAACCTCATATTCCAGGTTCGCGTAGAGATGGTTCGCTCCCCACTGCTGACATAGGTCCACAATCCGCCGAGGTATGTTTTTGCGAAGTTCCTGCGTCTCCATGTACAAGGGGATATCCAGCTCACTCAAATCGCGCTTTACTTGATCTAGAGTACGCAGCGTCAGATCGACCCGAGCCGGACTCGACAGGTGAGCCGTCAAATCCTGTGGCGACAAAATATACAGCCCGATCAATGGGATATTGTGTTCCTTGGCGGTCTGGTGTGCCATCTGCAAGGCACGATTATCGTGTAGTCGCAGGTCGGACTTGAACCAGTGCACCACTGCACTGCTGGCATTGATGGCCCTGCGCTGGTCGGCAGTCTCCGCGTAGGCCCGCTGTAGTGTCTCGATCGGTCGTTCCAGCGTTCCGTCGTTGTAGGCCAAGCAACGCTCGTTGCTCATTTCCGGCGGATAGAATTCTCGCAGCACGATACCAAAGTCCTCGGACTGTTGCGCGTTGGGATGCGGACGTGACAGGTCCAGCTTTCCGCGTTTGCTGGTCTGTGTCGTGCCATTGCTGCCTGTTCCTGCGGTCTTGCGTTTCTGGGGGGCCATTATCGCGAGCCGAAGGGGATGGATTCGAGGTGACAGTCTGGAGAAAGCCTTCATGCGCGAGTAAGTGACAGGAAAGAGTTGTGTTTCTTGCCGACTTTTTCGCGACTTACTTTCTATCCCTTGTTGGCGCGATCATTCCCTCAAGAGCTGGCTGGACTGGCCACAAACGATCGATCTGATCCGATCGACCAGCTCCGATCGCAATCCACTCTGACGTCAGGCTCCATGGTTTGTATGGAATTATTTTCCTGGGTCCCTAGTACCTTCGTTGTGTCCTGTTTCACCCCTAGCTTGGAGCCAAACCGAAGTCCTCACTGTGGAGAGCGTTTGAGGTTGCATTCCGTCTCCGTGGAGTGGTTATGACCTCATGACTACAGTCAATTCCGCGCCCCATTTTTGCGTCCCATCAGCATACCATTATTATTGAGTATGAAGCAGAGGAGTAGTCTGTAAGTGTACTCCTGTATTCAAATCTGATTTCTGTTTTATCACTGGGATAATTTGTGATTTCTTGCATCTATGCATATATCCCTGGTTATATGTACATGTAAATATATCTAAATTACACAGCTATCACCTCCATCATCCTCATGGAGACACGCTTTTGGGATAATGATACTACATACCCAATTCTGCAGTAAATGTATTATTCAAGAGGTCTCACCTCCGATACCGGTCACCACCTTATTCACTATTAATGGAACTGTTGCTTACAGGAACTCTGAATGTTTAGAGTTGCACACTCCTGCCCGGATTATCCTGTCTCAAAACTGTTTAGAATGCAATATTCTCTTCTACTGAAGACTATGGGTAGAGAGACATATAGACCATTGACCCCCTAGTCCCCGACATGTCTTGTGTAGATCGTCCAGTCAGAGCTAAGAAACTTATGTTTGTCTACTTTAGTGAGAGATCTAGACCCTGTAGGGATATATCTATTTTTTTAATTGACAGATCAACTCTGTACAACCAGGCAGTTGTACAAGATTCATCCAAGTAGACTATTGCGCATGCTTCCCTACGGGATTACTTTCTTCACAGGAACAGCGAGGGGAAATTCGGGTATGAAGTACAGAAGGTTTTCAACGCTTCCAACGCCAAAGTCTACGCTCCCACCCTTCCTCGTGTTGTGGGAGTTAGACGGCTCTCATTCCGCTTGATCTTCGTCCTATATCGCCCGTGTCTTTCAGGTTTCGCTGCTCACCGGCAGCCGGCGTATGAGTGGCTACTCAGGTCTCAAAAGCCGTTGGAGTTCAGTAGTCATCTGTGTGCAACGGGAAAAATAGCGGAATACAGTTCCCAAACTTCAGCTCGATCAAGGCCGTCCATGGCTCGGCAGATCCATCTCGACGGTCATCCTGTCGTCTTCCAATCATACAGCACATCGTGGCATATAAAGTTGCAATACATCCTACAGACCCTCCATCTCCTTGTCGGAACTCACCTCGCGTGCGGTACCATTTCCGGGGTGCGTAGACGGGGAAATCAAATACCCCACGGGGTGCCTGCGCTTTTTTTTATTCCACTTCCTTACCAGAGTCGGTCTACCAGATAAGAAGAAAAAGGCAGAATGCGCCGAAGCAATTACCCGTCATATAAGGGCCAACGGTATCGCCAGTGTCGGGTCATCGTGCTCAGCATTTGTCCACTTCTCTGAATTGACCATATCGAAACAAGACAGAAGAAGGTATCCAACATGGGTGCCTCCCCCCCATGGCATCCCCCTCTGCAGCATCCACCACTTCCTCCCACTTCCCCGACGGCTCGATCCTGCATGATATCCACATCGACCAGACGCAGAAATACATCTTCTCGGCCTTTGGCGCCGTGGTCTGGTATAACGCGATCGAGCTCATCGTCCTCTGCCTAACCACCTTCAAACGCTACCACGGCTGCTACTTCTGGTCCCTCCTCCTCGCCTCCATCAGCCTCATCCCGCACGTCCTCGGCTTCTTTTTCTTCTTCTTTCTCCCCACAGCCGTCAGCCCCTATGTCGCCGTCTCCCTGATCGTACCGAGCTGGTACGTCATGGTAACCGGCCACTCGCTCGTCCTCTGGTCGCGCCTGCACCTCGTCCTGCTGAAGCCGAAAATCCTCCGCGCCCTCCTGGCCATGATCATCGTCGACGCCATCGTCCTCCACGTCCCCATCACCGTGTTGCTCTTCGGCGCCGTCTCTGCGCACCCGGCGCGCTTCACAGCGGGGTATGCGGTGATGGAGCGCATCCAGCTGATCGGCTTCGCGCTGCAGGAGTGCATCATCTCGAGCTTCTACGTCGTCGAGACAATCAAGATGCTCCGCCTGCGGCAGGAGGCGCGGCACCGGCGCATCCTGACCCAGCTCCTGGCGATCAATATCGTGATTCTCGTGCTGGATGTTGCCGTCGTCGGCACCGAGTATGCGGGCTACTATGCCGTGCAGGTGATGTTCAAGCCGGTGGCCTATAGCATCAAGCTCAAGCTCGAGTATGCGATCCTCGGTCGGTTGATCGAGGTCGCCAAGGGCGAGTGCTCGGAGCGCGAGCAACTCTCGTCGAGTGTGCGCGCGTTGCACTCTGATCGCTCGGAGCCTACCGTCTCGGTGTTGGGGAGTTCCCCGCTGCCGAGTCCGGAGAGTGTTCCCGGTATGTCGTATATCCGCGATGTGGATACATATGCCTCGATGAGGTTTTACGAGAGACGGTCGCTTTGATTCAGGGTCTTGCGGGGCGGTTAAACAAAAGTTTGAATTGGACTGCAATATACCTGTCCTAGATTAATCACGGTCTATGATGATATAAAATCGATATTGATGTGAGATCTGCGTGCCCGATACGAGGGAGAATGGGAGATTGTCAGGGGTCTCACGTTTCGATTTAACGATGACATGTATCTATTCCTTTTTGGAGATGTCAAATATTCATTTCGGCCCAATTACCCTTGGTATGCTCCCTCATTTTCAACTTCAGTGGATCCCTCTATTGCTGTATGGCTAGCATTGCACCGTCGAAGAAAAAGAAAAAAGAGAAACAGTTGACCTGTATCCACCAAATCTCCACAATTTTGATTGTCGTACCTTTTTCTCGACTCGATCTATCACAAAATAGGAGCATGTGGAATTAGCGTCGTCGACAGCTCAGCAACGCGAACGAGACACCAACCTCGTCCCCTATTCAACCCAACAATTTCTCGTTCTTCCCATGTTCTCCAAATTCAACTTGTCGACAAACTCTTCATCTTCGTGAGTAAGGAATCCCTCGAGCAACGTCCACTGAAGCGGAAAAGATGGAAAAGGATATATACTGCGCCATCTGCGGTGTTGGCTTCGGGGGCTTCCAGATTGGGTCCCGGGCGCCGGAAGCACTTGAGCAGCGAGACCGGTTCGTGGAAAACAGACGGCGGGCGCTCAAGCGGGACCTTCCGTTTCCTTCACCCTGGGATAAGGACAGGAAGACTGAGAGTGAAGAATCGGATGAAAATGATGACGAGGTTGATGTTGCCGTTAATCACAATGAGCAGGGCGAGATAGAAGCGGGAAATGTCGACGGCGATGAACAGCCGAATCGCGACAGGGAGAATGACATGCAAGTGGAAAATGAAGAGCAAAACGTCGTAAATGACGAGCTGAATCACGAGATCACTAGAGAAGGCGAAAACCGGGACAGTGCCATCCAAGGCCTGGGGCAGAGCGAAGTCCCTCCAGAGGTCGACGTCGATCAAGAAGAGGCGGCGCAAACCGATGGCGAGACCGGCGAGGAAGAGTCAGAGGAAGAATCAGAGGAAGACGACGACCCCGAGGAAAACGGCCCAGAGGGTTACGATCCACGCTTGGTGGACCCAGATTCCTTTGACTGGCTCCATCGTGTACATTGTCTCGGATACAATCGGCATGCAACCGGCGAGAGGAAGTAAGTACCTGGAAGAGAGGATCTTTCGCGATCTCCGGCTGACATGAAAACTCAAGGACCTTCGTGATCGGGCCTGGCGAATATCTTCGCGGTGTTGGTGAAGTCGAAGGAAGTCCATTATGACCATCTCTAACTATTAACAGGATGATATCGAAATCCACCGTGGAAAGGGTAAGAGTCTCCTGCAGAGATGGTCGCACCCGTACTAACTATCTTAGATCGGAACCGACCCGAGACAACAGAATTCATATGGTATTGATCTTATCTCCTGCTCATAATGCTATTCGCTCCTGACAGACCCTCTAAGGTTCACTATGAGTTGCAAGGAGAGCCAGGAAAGGCGTCCTCTAGTCTTATTTCTTACCTCTGTAGAGGCTGTAGCAGTGTTCTTTAAAAGATCACATCTATTATGCCTGTAGGATGAGGACCAACAAGGAAGCAATCCTTATTACCTAATTGGTCAGATAGCCAGCCCATATAGGTATATCAGAAAAGCATTCGCAGGGTTTCTATCCAAATTAATTATGAAGTTTTGATGTATGTCCCTCTTTTGGCCCGGGACTTTCTTCCCTTGGCCTCTCGAAGAACCTGCCTTGCAAGATACAGATGTACCTATATCAGCCAGTTTAAAGGACCCATTCCAATAGGCAGCACTCTAGGCCTCTGTAGATGATGATCTGACAGCCTTTTAGTGACCCAGTTGGCTCTGAGGAAGCAGTCACAGAACTGTTATGTGAATGGGAATGGTACTCTCAGATTTGTTCCCACAAAATCCATGTCCTTGGCTGGTTGCGATCACTGTAGGTTGAACTGAGGCTGAGCGGATCAACGAGCCAATTATGATCCGCCCTGCAGTCTCTACGGTTGGTCTCGGTCTATATGGTTAGGCCCGTCTTGGTATAATCACAGTGGAGGTCTGAGTGCCAAGAGGTAGTATTTACTAGTGTTTCCATGACAGCGAATGGCATAGAAGCATCAGTCTCTCACTTGTCCTAGGTGTGGTCAGCGGTCCCTCTAACGGCCAGGGACCACTTAAACAGGGTCCTCAAAAGCGGAGGTGAGTATTTCCTGTGCGCCAATCGGAAGATATGTTACAGGGAACAACCTTCAGAAGACCACATCTCCGACTCATCTCCGGTAATGCCGTTGAAAATATGCAAGGATTCTTCCTGTCAGAAATACCACGCCATTGCAGCCTTTGCAGGTGACAGGAGTGATGCCTGCAGTAGCGGTACAGGAAAATGGACGATTGGCGGAAGCTATTAGGGCGGCCTTCCAGAGTCAACTACAACAGCCAACCGGAATGATAACTGAGATGGACCATGGCGGCTATAACCGCTTCATGGATTGTGAGATAATTTGAGGTCTGTTGGACCCTGTTGCGTGGAAATAATGGACCAAGAGTGTTCCCTTGTCACCATAGCCTCGGCCGAGCATAGCAGGACTATGTCTACATCAGCATCCCTCTTGAGTTTTCACGGCTGCTGCTTATGATGACCATGTGTATGAGAACAGCTCACTGAGGCTGCGAGGATGTGGAAATCGCCATTCCAGCGCATTGATCCGATCACCCAGTTAGCAGGTGCCGCGATATCAAGCAGCCTCTTGAGACAACACCTGTTCACAAAGCAAAGTGAACTCGTTTCTGAGGCTCTTTCTTGGATGCTCTTGCCAGCCATCCACCATTATTGGGGAAGCTCACGGGCTCGCAGCGGCTCAAGGGCAGCATTACCAGGGCCAGTGGATAGTGCACCTGCATCTAGTGCATCCTTGTGGGCAGTCGCTCTGGCCGTGTCTTCAGCGTCTTTCTATCAAGCGGAGCATGGAATAATTACTTTGTTTGTAAGTACTTACTCCTTCCTGAAATGGTGAGGATCCGGAAGCTAACTTCGTGCTGATATTACAGCCAGCATTGAGTCCACTATTGGTTGTAGTGCAAACGCACATCGAACGAGGTGGGATCCAGACGGGGGTAAGGTCTGCGTCGTGCCTAGACAGAGTCTGGGTCACAGCTTTCATTGCTGTGCTCTGTATAATCACACTGTCCAACTGGGACCTCAAAGCCAGTGCGTTGTCGGGAATTCCGGTGTTAGGACTGCTGATCGTTTACCTTGCTTTGACGCCCAGGTCTGGCAAGCGCGCTGGATACCGTAGGCCCATTGATGATGGGCGTATCATACGTCCGCTTGCATTCCGTGTGGTGGTCACTCTCTTGGCTGCACTCGGCTTGGAAATTGTGGCATACGGGCCGCCAAGGATCAGTGTTGTGGACACCATCTTGGTAGGAGTCGCTAAATCGTTGATGTGGCATTTCCTTCTTCTGACAGTATGTCCTCTCGCGAGCTATCCCATCATTACAACGCTCACTAGTGCAAGGTTGAGCGTTGTTCCTGGTCAGTGGCTGCGGCGATAGGAACATTTAGCATTGTGGCCACCAGGAATCCATTCAGCTTCACCTCGGATATTCAGGCGTTATCCCATCTTATCGCATCATTATTTGCCCTAGGGCAGGTTATCTCCCTTCTACCGGATAAAGCCAAATCCAGATCTGCCCTCTGGATATGCGTTGTTGTCTATTTAGTCCCATACCTGACCAACATCTACGCCATACACGTTGCAAAGTCTTCATTGATACAGTCCTCACATCCGATTGACCTACTCATTCAAAATGCCAAAGCAGATTTTCAAGCCTTGCTCGAAAGACAGTCAAACAGTTATAGCGCTGCCTGTGAGGAATATCGCTGCCGCTATCGGATGGAACCACCGCCCGGCTTTCAAACCTGGTACAATTTCGCCAAAGCACATCGATCACCCATCATCGATGACTTCGATATCATTTATGATAGGATCTCCCCATTCTGGAGAATTAGCGGGAGCGAGTTTACTGAAGCCATCAACCGTTTACAAGATACCCCGAACAGTGATGTATGGGTTTGTACGTTCTCGGCTGAAGCCACAACGAATTGTAACCACCCTTACCGCAGCGTCGATAGAAATATCCAAGGATTCCTTAACACAGTACTAGCAGATCTGCGCGGCCTTCTACCGGATATCAAATTTCATGTCAATCACCTTGATGAGCCTAGGGTTCTGCTACCGCCATCTGCCTCTGAGGGGTCTGAATCACTCAACATAACAAGCTATTCCAAGCGACCCGTCTGGGATACATTGACCAAGTCGTGTCCCTCACCGGAAAGCGAGAAAGCCGACAGACCGACGTGGGAAACGTTTGGTCTCCCGTTCGTGACTGACCGTCAGTCTACAATGGACCTATGCCGCCATTCCGAGTACCGTGAATCACACGGGCTCCTCATCAGCCCTACATCATTCCCGTTGATCGAAGGACTGGCTCCTGTACTGTCAACCGGCTCGCTGTCGACAATGGGAGATATTTTGTATCCCAGCCCTGCGTATCTTGAGCCGGAATTTGAATATGTAGAGGCCAAGGATATCAACTGGGACTCCAAACGCAACAATCTTTACTGGGCCGGCTCAACAACCGGTGGATTTGCGGTGAATGATGGCTGGCAAAGCTTCCATCGACAGCGATTTGTCAAGCTGGCACAAAACCTGGGAAACGGTCGCCATTCCTATCTTCGGGAAGGCAAAGGCGTGATCAACCTTGTAAAATCGTCCTTCCTTAACAGCAGACTATTCGACGTTGCCTTTACCAGAGTCTTCCAGTGCGAGAAACGCTATTGCCGAGATCAACAAGCGCTCTTTCAAACCAAATCATGGGCAGACAAGGACGAAGCCTTGCATTCACGTCTGGTGTTTGACATCGACGGCAATGGTATCAGCGGGCGGTACTACAAACTGCTTGCGTCAAAGTCTGCGCCGCTCAAACAGACACTTCTGCGAGAATGGCACGATGACCGTCTTATGCCATGGGTGCATTACATTCCAGTCAGCCAGAGCATGGAGGAACTGCCCGAAATGGTCACGTATCTCACCTCTGAGGCCGGGCAGGAACGAGCCCGGGAGATTGCGGAGCAGGGTCGGGACTGGTTCTCAAAGGCCTTTCGTAAGGAAGATCTGACTATCTATTTGTATCGGCTTTTCCTAGAGCTGGCGAGACTCCAGGATCCAGAGAGGTCTGCAAAGACCTAGTGGTCGGAGTACAATTCACCTTTTTCTTTCTTTCTATTTGCAGCTTCTCCGGGTCGGGAGGCCTTGTATCTCATCCTGTTCTCAATTGACTAAACAGTACTTCTATCGAGCACTCTGCCTAAAGCCGTGAATTGAAACGACCATCTCACGGTTATTAGACGTCATCCTTTCTTTTCAACGGTGAGCTGGGATCCATAGAAGCGTGTGCAATTAAACAGAGAGTGCGTGTTCCAAAGAGACCCTAGTAACGCTCCACCTATACAACAGGGAATATGCGCCAATGGGATCTGAGAGGCAGCAAGCGTATCCTGTGGAAGCCATCGTGGTCTGCTTATGACCAATGACTTCTCAGCCTTTCCGAGAACCAACAATGTCCATACTAGCTAGCAACTGGAGAGTAACTTGAGTTATGTCAGGGACGCCAAGATGGTCGTACATTTAAGACCGTGCTTTTCAAACTGGTTCGCTGTTTACTTTGTCTGCACTGGTAGTAATTCCTGAGCTTAAGGCTGATCAGACCACTTCATTGCTTGGTGGATACAAGTCATTCCCGTGTCGAATGAGTATTGCCTCTTTAGACAGGGATTCTTGTACAGCCCGGTGGGGCACTGATTGGATTTGCTTCTCATTGTACTTATAGGAGATGTTTCACCTTGCCAGTATCCTGCTTAGATTTCCAGCTGGTGGTAGGCTCAACTCGATTAGGTATATACATGGTCAGCACTTTCCTGGTTTCCCAGTGCTGACATGTTTTCAATCATCAAATGTTGCTACATCTTGCAAGTCTCAATGACTTGAGCAACGCTGCTGCTTTCATGCCCCAAAAGCCGAGCATCTCCCGCAGACTTCTACGTAACAGACTGTTCCGCCGATTTACCCTTCTAGGTCGCCTGATCGCCGAGTTCTTGCTCTCCTGCGTACTCTGGACAACGTTGGAGTTTAGACGGAGATATGCGCGAAAGCTACAACAGCTGAGCTTGACTGAGACTTTTCAAAGCCGCTCACTGTGCCGACGCCTTGGCTTATCTTCGCGAGATCTTTCTCCGTGCTATTTTCATAGTTAAAGAATCTATACCTGGTGCTACTCCGGGGATGTCACTTTACGGATCTGGAATGATATTTTGTTGCACATGTCGCTCACTTGATGCTGGTTACTAACGACCCTAGATAGCTCGCAGTGTATGAGCTCACTCGTATAATGTTTCTCAGCTGGTATGTTACTTCAAGGGACAGGTAAGATAATTTGTGGTTCATTATGTTCACAGCCTTAAGGCATCATAGCATTAAGTGTAAAATTTTCATAAAAGGGCAGTAGACTCAGTATTAGACCACCTCATATTCAGACAGCGGACCAGATCAAAAGTAAGAATAACCGCTATCCACCATCTCCTTCGCATGTCTGGTCCGCTCATCAAGGTCCTCCCGAGGCAGTCCAAGCACAGCATTATCCAGCCCCCGTCTGCTCTCATGGTCCCCATCCCCGTTCGGATAGAAGACACGCGCATACATGGCCTGCGCAAAGCCTCTGCGATCACCCTTCTGCATCCTCTCGATGCCCCGCTGGTAGCGCTCAGCGGTGGATTCATACTCAATCGTCCAATCCTCCTCCTTGTCCCCAGTCACTCTCTTCCAGCTCTCGAACATATCCTTCTGGCTGACCAGGAAGCTCGAGATAAACAGCGGCCTGTTAGCCCACCCACTCACCGTCGGGCTCCGATCGTTCTCGTCCTCCGGCAACTCCCTGAACTTCAAGAAAGCCGCGACAGCCCGTCCACATTGCTCCCACGTACTCACATTGATCCTGGCATTCCCATCGTCGTAAAACGTAACCTTCTTCTCCTTGAAGTCAAACCCGAACCACTCCGGCCCGGTGGAAAGACTAAACTCGTACCAGAAGCCGCACACCAGCGCCACCCAAACCGAGACCCCGGTCGCTTCGATCGCGGCACATGCCTGGCGCACCGGCTCCCCGCCCAACATCTCCTTGCGCAGTTTCTCGTTGGTGATGTCCACGCCGTAGCAGTTGGGCATGATGTACGGGACGCCGGCTCTCGCAGCGGCCTGGATAAGCTTGCTCTGGGTGTCATGGGGCGCAGTGACGCTCAGGGTAATGATGAGGAATTGTTGGTTTTGCAGGGCCGAGACGAGCGTGGATTCATCGTTGTAGTCGACGGTGACGGTGCAGACTCCTGCGGGGAGGGTGCTTTTGCTGTCTGCGCGCGTGAGCGCGGTTACGGTGTGTTGCCCTGTCTGCAGAAGTTCCTGTGTGATATATTTGCCCACGGTTCCGCCAGCCTGGCGTCAATGTTAGTGAAGAGTCATTGGAGTGGAGAGATGAACCTACGCCGACGATGGCGACGCGTTCGATGCGGTTGGTGAAGCCTGAGGGCTGGTCTTTAGCGTACTTTTGAGTCATGGTTGAGGCAAATCCAGGGTTAGAGATGTATGATGGCTTTTAAAGCTTGTTTCTAGGGTTTGTGATTTGATAACTCCTGGAGATCATCTTGAAGGCCGAGCCGTACGGTTTATATCCTTGGAGCAATTGGTTAAAGGCCGTTTGGATCCGTTGCGACTTGCGGAGATAATTGAGATGAAATTGAGCGTAAAGCCGACGGAAGGATATCGAAATCTGACAGCCAGAAGAAGTTGATAGCTGTTGTTCTGCTGTTGCTCATTCTCTGCCCCCAAAGACCAGACGGAAATAACGGAGTTAGGGCTGGGCTACGCAATCAATGCCGTCGATAATTGTAAGGAGTCGGGCGTAAGAGCCCGACATACCGACTCATCATTTCTTCATGAAGCAGACAGAGAAAATCATCTATAATTGGCTTCTGAAGACTCGAGCACAGCCTCGGGCGATGGCAGAATAGATGCCTGAGGCAGGAGATCAACCGTGTCACAGTATCTTGGCCGGCCACGAGGGTATCCCAAGACCGATATATTTCTGTAACTAGATACTAAGTTGTCTGGCTTTGCCTACTCAAGGCTACAGCCGACTTTAATAAAAGATTCAGCAAAATCAAGACTGTCATAGATGAGTGATCAATAATGGCCTGCCCAAATTCCAGAGAATTAGTGAGACATGGCGCTGGTGCCTGCTCCTTAGTTTCTGGGCATCTCTTTTATCTCAGGACATGGATAAAGAGAACTCGCCTATTAAGGTCAATGACTGCCCAGAAAAGGGCCAAACAACGATGCAATCAATCAAAGTCTTCATCCGCTGGCGTCCCCTGTCGCCATCCGAATCAACCACCCCAGAAATCACACGAACACAGCACCCTCATCCCACCAACACCTCCGCCATCTCACTAACACCACCACCGTCCCACAAACTCTCCCGCCCCTGGAAAAGCGACTCGGCCTTTACACAGATTTTCACCGCAAATGACAACAACAGAGCCGTCTTCGAGGCCGTGGTAGCACCAACCCTCCCCCGCGTCTTGACCGGGCAATCCTGCGACTTTTTCGCCTACGGACACTCGGGGAGCGGCAAGTCGCACACCATCGTCGGGTACGATTTCGAGCATCCCGACGAGTTCGGGCTATGTCTATCCGCCGCAAGAGCGCTATACGAGCACCTCGACCAGCTGAATGCCGGTACCAATGAAGCTGAGAAGCTCCTCCTCGGACTACGCATGTACGAGCTTCGGAAGAATATGGCCTTTGACCTCCTGAACGACAGATGCAAATGCCATATCCGCGAAGGACACGACGGCAAAACCCACATACGCGGCGAGACAGAAACGCTAGCCGATGGGAAAGTCCGCGTTCGACCGATCGTCACAAAGGCGTGCTTGACCTATGACGATTTCCACGCGCAGTTGCTGGCGGGAATTCAGCGCCGGGCGACGGGGACGTCGACGGTGCACGATCAGAGCTCCCGCACGCATGCTGTTTTCGAGATCGAGATTGTCACGAGAGAGCTCTTGGATGCGAGGGACGCGGTTGTGGAGCGACAGTCCGAGCTTGTTCCTGTCGGGAAGCGCGCGACGGATGTCTACATAGAGGAGAATTCGAAGGCGTTTATCCAGACGCCGGACGGCAAGTTTGCCCCGAATCCGGACTACCAGATCAACCAGCAAGCGATTGACGAAGCCGAGGCGAAGAAGGCGGAATTCGAGGCGTACGTCCAGACAGCAGAGGAACACGTGGCGGAAGTCAAAAGGTCTTGTCCCCATGCTTGTCTGGGCGGAAAACTAGTCTTTGTAGACCTGGCAGGTTCGGAGTACTACCACGACAAGACTACTATTTCCGCATCTCGAACGAAGCAGACGCCCCAGGAGCAGCAGGAAGGGAGGCAGATCAATACCGATCTCCTCTCCTTGAAAGAAGTCATTCGGGCGATGGCCCAGAAGCAGAGTCGCATCCCCTTTCGGTCGTCGCCGCTGACGATGGTCCTGCGCGAACACTTCTTGACCGGTGAAGCAGACGACGGGTTTTCGGCGATGATTCTCACGGCATCGCCTTCGTCTGAGCAGTACACCGCCACGATCGACACGCTGAAATATGGCAATTTGATCGGCGTGGCCGGAGACAAGGCGAAGGGACGTAAATACTGCATTTCCTAGTTCTCACGATAATTGGTGGACGGCTAGAAGGAGCCAAGATAGTCTTCGGCCTCGGAATCACTTGATATACCATGATTTATCTCCAAACTTGGATGCGTGTCGAAGTATAAGCCTGCTGGCTTAGACCAACTGTAATAAAGCATGATCTTCGGGATTGGTACAATGCCCGGCAACCTTGTAGGTAGATATCAAACACTGCTGGCTCGCGACATGCACGAATTCATAACCACACGCCTTGATCTATATCTACTAAGCCAACGCATTCTTTTCCTCCGAATCACATGCCCCCATCTAAAACGCATATGGCACCGGCACCATCACCGTAGCCGCCGCCCCAGCAAGGTCAACGACCACTTCACCCCCAGATTCTGAAATGACCAGCACTAAACAATCCCTGGCGTATCCGCAATGCGGAAAATGTACTTGATAGCACTTGCTTTTCCGGCCTTCAAGTCTTTCAAGGCTTCCTCAACACCTTCTAGCCCGCGCGGCCTCACTTCGAAGGGATGACCGGAGAAACTGCCATTGTGCAATGCTCTTGTGAAATACCGGGAGAAAATGAAGCCTAGTTCCTCATTGTTCTCAAACTCGGGTTGCTTGTGCACTGAGCCCACGGAAGTGATTGATTTCATCGCAGGTGACACGTCCAGATCGTTGGGCAGTACAAAATCAATTCGTCCACCCGCGGTGACCGACTGCTTCAGGACCTCCGCGCTCTGGGAAATGATAATAGCATCAAGTGCGTGCTGCACAGTAGAGTGGCCTGCTCGTTCAAGGCTGCTTCTAATCTCCTTGACGGTTGGCTCCACTCCTTTACGGTAGTCAATCACTGTATCACCTTTGCTTTGATCGAGGAGGCCCTCTACATACTGAGAGCCCTTTCCTGCGATAGCGATGATGGGATGGATGTTACTGTTGCATGCCATTTTGATAGCGTATGAGCCAACAGCCGTGCTTGCACCATAAACAATGAATGGGGTCGGTTTCACTGCAGGTGTCCACGGGGGTGGGAAGCGATGGTGCGCGTACAAGGACACAGCAGCGGTCAGGGCGGCGAGTGGGATAGTCGCGGCCTCTGTTAATCTTGGTCAGATATGTACGAACGAGTCTCAATATAGTTGTCTTGAACGCACCTTCGAACGAGGTGTGCTTGGGCAAATGGAAAGTGGTATGACTCCATGCAATTGCGTACTCAGCATACGAGCCACCAGGGGTACACATTTCATGGAACGCTGCAACGCGATCACCTGGCTGGACAAGAAGTTAGCTTGGGCCAATATAAGTCTAGGTCAGATGGCTAACCTTGAATTCAACCACGTTGGACCCGACTTTTTCAACCACTCCCGCAATATCGTCTCCTTGATTCAGCCCCTTCTTGGCCTCCAGCATCATGCCGAAATTGGTGTTCCCAGAAGCTGCAAGATCTGGGACCTTCCAATCCTTGGGATTCGACCCAGACACGACCACTTTGATCAGGACTTGGTCATCGTTTGGCTCAGGGATCGGACTCTCGACAATTTTTGCAGTCGGCCCTGCCAAATTGATCACCTCCTTCATGATTCCTGACTGCAATGGTCACTTGAGTAAGTTAGAATAATAGCTCACAGCTCTTTCTGGGTACAGTCAAAGACAGACGTTAATAGTTAGTTATATCTCGCACTTTTGGGTTAGTGAGAACAAAAGAAGGATGATTATGAATCAGCCCATACCACCCTTCAGCATTCACCTAATTTAATTGGGCTTTTACTTCACCATCACACATGTGCCATTTCAGGGCTGGGCGGAGACCCAGTGACGGGAGATCTGGTAGTGGGAGATCCAGTGTGGAAGGCCCGTGACTTCCATATGATTTCCATTCAAAAGACCCTCTCGGCATGTGATGGAAGTAACTATGGCTTAGGTCTCTGATAGATCTACCTGCGGTCTCATGTGCAGTGAAGAAAATGTATTGGCGGTCTAGCTTTGGTTCCTTTACTCCGTATGAAGTCTGCATAACATGCATAATGCAATCTTAGCCAATGACCTGAGAAGCTGGAGCCACTATAAGCTTAGTCATCTACCAAACCCACCAAATTCCGCTAAACCCCGGCTTATCAACATGATCCACCCAACCAAGGTGCAGTGGGATCTCCGGGTCAGTGGGATATCCGTATGCGCTTTGGCCAACCTATCCCAACTGCATTGGCGACTGTCCAAGGTATTAAGTTTCGTGGAAAAGGCCATTCAAAATCATTCTCTTTATTGGACTTAGATCTGGCATGGAGTCCTCAAAAGAATTCAGCTGTGACTCTCCAGGCTGCAACGCAAGCTATCGGCGGAAGGAGCATCTGAATCGCCACAAAGCGCAACATGTCCCACGACGGTCATTTCAATGTCCAATCTGTTGTCGGGTATTCGGGCGAAAGTAAGCAGACAATTCTTCCTATTTGCCATGAACACATTATTAACCGCGAATTTCGTATCTAGTGACACGCTTCGTCGACATGTCCGGCAGAGTCATCAAGGGAGTGAGCCAGTACCTCCCATAAGGCAAGCCTGTGTAAATTGTCGGGCTCTCAAATCTCGTTGTGAAGGAGGGACACCCTGCACCAGATGCCTGCGCCGCCACATCCACTGTTCTTTGCATGACCAACCCGGGATTTCAGGGAAGGACCATAGTCCACAACAGCCCGTCAAGCCTAGTCATTCCGAGAAAATACAACACTTTCTCAAGTTGTACTTCAAATTATTCCACCCATATTGGCCCTTTATTCACCAAGGATCATTCAACCAGAGCAACGAGACCCCTTTACTTGTGCAGTCGATGGTTGCCATTGGTATGTGGGCCAGTGATGTGCAGAGTACACGATCCGCGGCAACCGAACTCCATGAAACCCTCCATTCGGCTATATATAAACAAAGAGTTTGTTTCTGCACACCTACCCCAATTTTTGACTAATGTACTAACCAGAAAACCTGCAGGACAAGTGGGATGCTTCTGTTGCAGAGAACGCGTCAAGCATCTGCTCCTGGCCGATCCCAATGTACCAGGCTATCCTGATTCATATAATCTTCTCTCTAATATGCAAAGGCACTATCTCTCTTGGTCTTGATTTGAAGCCTTCCCTGCGTGCCATTGATACTGATCTTCTCGCCTCATTGGTGAAGAGTTGCAGAAGACTGGGCATGTTCCATTATCCAAACATGCTTGCGCGATACCATCCAGATGATCTTGCCTCATATGTCTGGGTTGGGATTGAAGAAGTCAAACGGTTTGACCTAGCTTTATACAGAGTTTGCAGGGCTCTAAGCTCTAGTGAGCGAAGCAGTAGTATAGAGGAGCGTGGTACTCCAAGGGCGACAAATTGGCAACTCACTGCAAGCGAGCTACAGTTTCCAATGCCGAAAAATGATTTGCTTTGGAACGCTGTAAGTGAAAAAGAGTGGAGTTCTGCTGCCGCAGAGGATGTGGACCGCATTGACTTAAGCGATACTATGGAAGCGCAATGGATCTCAAAGTCGGCAGAGCTCTTGCGGCTCACCTGAGCTAGCCGTCCATATTGCGCTACTAAACAAAAGATTGATGTAACTTCTGGCATTCGTCTGTTGACCTGGTTTGACACGATCTGACCTGAAAGTCGATGTCTAGCATCTTCAACTTCAACAGTCAAGTCTATGCATACATTATACGTATTCTGCTAAAGTACTTGGTTCCCATGCTCAGGAGACGCGGCACGCATTTCCTATAACGGGTTCATGGACTTGTCCAACAATTTTTGTAATTGAAGTTCTCTCGAAAAGTAGAAAAGGAGATGCGGAAATCGACTAGGAGGACCTGGCGAGGGTGTCGACCATGATCCAGATGAGTTTGATTCAGCGACGATGTCCCAAATCTTGTCATTATTTGGCAGGGGCATGGGTGTATGGGAGTCGCCAGGCCGGGGCCGTTTGCCCAGCGCAGGTAAGTTCAAGTGCATGGAAGTTTCACTGGCTTCTTGATAGGTATAATATAGGCTATTAAAAGGCAGAATAAATCGCAGACAAGGAGATGAAGACCTTTCTATCATGTATATTGTCCAATATAAGTGCTTTACCAGTTGCCACTCAGTAGACGTCTTGGAAAAGGTGTCTCTAGCTGTCTGTTAGCGGGATATGGTGTTTCCTGGCTTGCGGCACAACCCCACTGCTGGTCGCGGGTTTTTCTTTTCTTTTTTTGGGGGAGTGGGGGGAGTTGTTGACTGTTCATAATATCTGAGTTAGACGCATACCTTCTGAGGAGAGATTGAATGCGCAAGGAGGCGATCTGGAATCTGGATGTACTTGTAGGCTTGCCGCGGCAAAATAGATGCTAAAGAGACTTAAGCACTGAACACTGGTTACACTGTCTTCTTATTCTTTAGTTAGAATAAATGCAATTGATATCACAAGGAGACATAAGCAGGACTTGTTTGAACGCGGAAAGCAGGGGGTGTTGGTCTTGAGGAAGTGATTGGTGAAGTTTGGATGAAGAATAGGGTACTACCTGTGAACCTCATCCTAGAACCTGTGTAGAGTCCTAGCGGTATGATGGGCTTAGTGGTTTTCTTTTGCTTTCTTTGCTCTTGAAACATACTTGGTTGCTTTTTCCTTGGATATTCTGAGAAGCCTAGACTCCCCCGAACCCCCAGGGATACTTGGAGAAGCCTTCTCCAGTTGATAGAGGAAGGAGGGAAATCAGACTGCAATCCGACGAGTTGCATCAGGTACCGGGATTTGATAGTGATAGGTGAAGCACGCAGCGGAGGATACGAGGTGATAGCCACGGCATGATGCGGGGATATAGGGGGGATCAGGGGTTTTTCCACCAATGATGAGATATAATCCAACCTTTCTCAGATACTTGAAAGTTCCTGAACGAGTCTGCCTCGTTAAGACCAAGCCCGTTAGGCGACCGGGTAGTCGAGAGAGGGACTCACTGTGAGGGCTGAGGATCCAAAGCTGGTTGGTAAAGGCACTCCACATCCAGAGTGATGCAGTATGAACATTTGGGCCTGCCCTGTCACATCTTCTTCTGCGCTCCCGGCACTGCTCAAAAGCGAAGAAGCCCGAACGGTGGGGAATCAGCGCCATGGCGCGAGCAATTGATCGATATCAAGTCTACCGAGTACGTCCTATCTGCTCTGTCACCTTGGAATGGTCCGCTGATATATGTGCTTTGGCCTGCTTGAAGTCGTTCCTTCTGCCTTGGCCGACCTGTCTGGTTCCATGAAGCGCGCCACGCCAGGGTGGAACGAGATTTGACGAATAATGTGCTTTTTGGAGCCCATTTACCCCTGTTCCCCGGTTAGTCAGGGTCAACCATGAATTATTACCGACCTCCGACCTTGGGACCCATCATCGCGGAAGAGCCCCTGGCGAGAACCTTCTTAAGCTTTGCCACTAAATTAAGGGGAGGAGAAATAGACCCCTTTCCCACTTCTCGCGGCCATAGTGAAAATAATGATATAAAATGGGGGCGCAGGGCAGTCGCCTAACCCCACGGGGACAGAGCAACGAGATCTCGACCCAACGAGAGCCTTCTATCCGGCAAACAATCATATCTACAATGTGACCCATTGCTGCATTATGAACGATTCGCTTATCCACGTGAACCCAATCTTCTCGCACCATGCCTCCCTCGCCAAGAGAAACATCTCTCGGCCAGTCGACGATCCAGCTGCTCTCGTCCTAGAGGCCTGGTCCCAGGGTCTGATGACGGGTTCCCTGGTCATAATGGCCGCGATCACCTACGCAAACATGCGAAAAGGCGCCTTGTTGCACAAGCTGATCTTATTAGAGGTAATGTGGCCGTTTTGACCCGAAATATATCAATACCGGTCCTGGCAACTAATTCCGCTGCTCTAGTTGATCTTGGCCATGCCTCATGGGACCTTCATTTTCGCCCCAGAACCAGCGTATGGGTGGTACCTGGCATCGACAGCGATTGGGCTGATCATATCCTGGTCTTTGCATAATGTGATCTCGTGGATGAAAAACAGGCCCTTCATGAGTCGCGGGCTCTCTCTCGTCTACATCGGGACCATTATCCTCGCTCAGCCGTATTGGGGGACAGAAATTTACGCCAATTTTGCTTACTTCAACAGAATCGATCCTACCGTCTATGAGAGGATTCGACCGTGGGAAGCACTGTTTCGGTATGTGCTCAAAAGAAGGCACTGCCTTTATCGTTCCAATCCCTTCCATCTCGTACCTTTGGGCTGACATATTGGCGTATCTAGCGATCCCTGGTGGATCTACACGACGTGTAATCTCTTTTGGGTGGTCAAGACCCATTATAATTTCGGTATCGTGGAGCTTGTGCGTGAATGTCCCCGCTTCGGCCTCATGCTGGGATCAATGTGCCTCTCCATTGCATTTCTCATTGCAGACATCTTGAGCGTGACTGAGACGTTCCGGGGAGCGATGCCCCTGGGGATCAATCCATTCTGGAAGGTGAGGATTTTCTTCCATCTGACGAAAACGCTGCTCTCGAAACCGTTGGCTGAATGGGTTCCAAACACTAGCTGTGTTTCATGTTTAAATGTCTCTGCGATACCATTATTCTGGACGACTTCAAGACCGCACTCGATAAGCTCAGTGCCCGGTGGCTTTTGCGGCACGGAATGCAGGATCTCCACGCCTTAGGTTGGTTCCCTTTTCCAACTATTCCTTTGCTTTTTCATGGGCAGTAGAGCTCACTCTCCCCATCGGACGTGCATCAGACTATGGAAGCAACCCAACATTTACCAATGAGCGCCCGTCTCTAAGCATCCATCATGAGACCCTACCTTTGAAACGCCCAGACAGTGTCGCACATTGTGCGTGAACGGAATCTCGTTATCTGGGGAACCTTCATAGACACCCACCAGTGATGTTGCAAGGGAGAAGGGAATGAAATGAGAGTCATAGTTACTACAAAATATAATAAATGCAACTGCCGTTCAGCTGCTGTAAAACAACTACTTTGTGATCAGTGATCAACTGCCAATTCAGCCAAGCGTCAGCAATTTCTCGGGCTGACAAATTTCGCATCCGGGCACCGTACCCTGTAGACAGATTGAAATTTCTCCGGAGAAATTAGTAGGCGTCCTGTTGAATAAATCCGCTGTCGTGACAGCCCCTTGAAAGTACGGGGCAACAGCAGCAAGGACTGACCTTTCCCAGGGTCCGCAGGAACAGAGGAAATACGCAAAACATAGGGTAGCGAGGGTGGTGAAATGGATAGAGGAAATAAACTTACAGGCACAGTGGTGTGATGAAGAACAGCAGCCCATGGACCAAGTCAGGCGCAGGGTTTCATGCACCCTGCTTGATTAGGCTCTGCTAGACAAAAGATAGGCTCTAACAGTCTCATCTGGCCGGCTTTCCCCTCACCATTGGACCCCAGGCTGCACTAAAATGCTGGGGATGTGTTCTTCCCGTGTTCTGGAAGCATTGTACCCAGGGAGAGAACTCATTCCTCGGACGGTATTGGACACCAGTGTCCATGGCAGGATGTACTCTGTTACTTTGTACAGACTGATAGGGTCTTAAGCTCGGGGCAGTATCCCCTTCCATCAAATTGATCTTCTGAAGGCGATGATGCTGTCATACAAAGTCCTATAGTTTGGGCTATGCATGATGGGAAATAAAGAACTCCCACAAAGGGGAAATCGGGTAGGTGAAGAAAAAGAAGCCTATGAGTCTTAAACACTACTCCACCTAGAACTCCTAGTAATGCCAGAGTCCGTATGTTAAGGAAGGCGGACAAAATGCAACAGTCAGCAATCTAAATACTTATTTTTCCTGCACTATAGCAAAGACTATTTCTACGAAGGACCGCAGAACCCCCTCCTTCTCTGTTAGTAACGTACCTCACCCCTATTAAGAAACATTAACCCAGCTGCTAATCCAATTTCTAGCCTGTGGGTGGAGCTATTAAGGCTTTAGCAAACACTAGAGCACATTACTGGGGTTATAAAAGCTCAGGCTTCCAAGCATGAGTACTTGACCATAGAGCAACTGCCGTATAATCTCACCAGTAACCAGGATTCATTTATTAGATTCCTAATTAAGACTATTCAGAACAAGTCATTCATGGCACATCTTAGGCTTAATTAATTATTCCTAGTTCTTCTGGAGCGGATGGAACGCAGAAAGCAAGCTATTTCCACTTATTCATCTGGCGCTCCAGCTATGATTGTAGATCCCTAATGAGCATCAGAGTAAGTGACAGAGGGATCACCTAGCTTTGGAGCAGATCCATATCTGGTATCCGATTCTCCACGCGGATTATACGGATGAATTTTGGCAGGTAATATCAACACCTTTTCCATCTTCTATGGAATCCTGCCTGACCCTCCTTGTTTTAGCGACTGGCTGCCTGGCTGAGTGCAAGTTGGTTAGGCACCCACTGCAGAAGCGCCCGGAAACCATATACATTCAAGTGGCAGTGGAAATGCTCCCCTGCGTACTGACTGACAGCAGCCTTCGAAGCGCACAGTGCCTACTCCTATTCAGCATATACTATCTATGCTACGCCCAACCATGTCGAGCACATGATTTCGTGGCGATGGCCTCGTATAAGCTGCAGGAGAGCTTGCTCAAGTAAGCGCCCAGGCTTAAAGGCAACACAAATTACTATCTCTAACACAGGCTGAGGGCATGTTTCCAGTGACGCCTCCGGTGAGAATGTTTTGGCGCAGTCGTCGATCGTCGGAAACTGCTACTGGACTGCCCTTTTGATTGAAAGGTACTGCCCCCTGTTCTGGCTACTGGGTATATCAAATAAGATGTCGATGAAAGCTTCGGTTTAGCTGACCTTTTCAAAGCAAGATCACTGTCCAGCTGAACCTGGTTGACAGTGGTATCTGGAGTATGAATTCACCTACCCCAGTGCCAATTAGCTGCGAGACCTGGACATGGGACTCGGTCTTTCTCCCCGTCACGGCTGGCAGAGCCGGAAATGAGGGAATAATGCATGACAAAATTCACCACCACCATGATCTGTCGTATTTGGTGGCGGAAACTGTGATGCGGAAGATGCTCCAGCGTTGTACATGGTCCATCCGAAGAGTCTCACCTGGCAATTTTGCATATGCGCCCATCATCGCGGCAGAAGTGGAGTAGCAACTGCGTGAGTGGTACTATCTTCTTCCGGAGTGGTTGTCTTTCGGTGGTAGTAAGGACGACACAGCCGTCCCTTCTAGGGCTTTGGCGCAGGCAGAGTTTCTTCGCATGTAATGCTATGCATTTAAAACCTCCATCTACTGGCCAGCGGCCTACCAGTCATTGAGTGCAGGAGAAGCAGATGATGATCTCCTGCCGCACTGCCAGAACTTTATTGATGACTATATTAGGTTTATTACAAGTGCAGCCGTTTCAGTACGCGTCTGCAAGCCCAACATCTGGACCTTGTATGCAAGGTGATTTTTTGATCAGCCAACGTGCAGAATGAATTCATTATTGGCTGACCAAAAGCATGATGTAGCGTGTTTACAATTTCAATGGCAGCGCTGACAGCATCAGTGGCGCCATGTCTGCTAAGTGTCGCCTCACCAAGAGTCCTTCAGTGTCTTGAATTAGCAGTAGATATCTTCAGAAGCGTGTCCGAAGTCAGCCCCTTGCTGGCCAAAATAGGAGCCATCCTGAAGGACAGAACATTCCAACACATATCAGCTTCAAGGTAGGGCTGGATCAAGTCATCTATATACTGTGCCTAGAAAAGTTCACTAGGATCATTCCAAGTTACTAGAAAGATGGCTTCAACGCTAGTGTTGCCTATGACTCATCATGCTGTTTTTGATCTGAGATGTGCAACCCCGGTCTTTTGTTCTGTATTAGCAGTGGCCAGCGTTGAAATCCCCAAATGGAAAATTAATAGCCTGTCTCCGGTTCCTGACGGAGTTTCTTTGCCCTCTACCGGGGTTGCTAAGCAGGTAGGCGCAGGGGCACTCTTCAATGAATGTAACGTCCCTTCCTGGGCAAGGAGAATCTAGCCTGAATCGCCCGTCAGCACGAGTCTGACAGCCCACGCCTGCGCGAATGGTTGCATTAGGTGGGATCTCTGCGTAGTTAGCTATCCACACTCGCCGATTTGCATTCTCTGAAGGCGTAGCGGACCGGCCCGGTCCCTGGACAGCTCGGAAGGAAACCTTGTTAGCCCTAGCCCCGCCTGGCCACCTCCGACCTTAGTTTACAGTGGTTGCACCCGTTATACTTTGTTCACTCCTTAGCAGTCGTAACTTGGATTAGCCCTAAACCAAACCGTATCACGCCAGAGCAGTCCCCCCACTCAAAACACCTTGAGAAGTTTCTCCTCGGTATAGAGCCACCTCGATAGCAGAACAATCGCCGACCCTGCGAGGCACATGACGCCGCCAAAGATCTTCACGTCCAGCCAGCCGTGGGCCGAATTTTGGAGAATGGCTCCACCAATGGGCGCCATGGTGAGGGCGGGGATCGAGATAGCGAGGAAGACTACGCCCAGCCGGTAGCCCATCTCGGGCAGGGGGGACACCGAGACGGGAAGGGCGCCGGAAAGGCCTATAAAGGCTCCTGTCGCGAAGCCGAACATGATGGCGAAGCCGATGGCGATGGACGAGCGCGTGGCGGGGATCCAGACGGCGAACTCGGAGATTCCGGAAACAGTACAGGCGATAATGAACATATTCCATCTTCCGATTCTATCGGCGCCATAACCGGCGACCAGACGGCCGAAGAGACTTGGGGTATAACCGTCAGCGTTCCGCGACTTTTGGGGGGTGGGTAACAGGGATAGACGTCGACCTACCTTGCGGCGTTGAAGATGGACACCAAGTACTGAGCCATCTCCTCTAATATATATGCCTCCTGAAAACCCTGCACCACTAGATAGTCAATGGGGATGAATATACCATAGGTCAGGACGAAGATGCCCAGCAGCATAACAAACAAGAACTCTGTGAAGGGTGCAGTGAAGGTATCTTCTTGGGCACGGGCTTTGTTCTCAGGCGGACTGTGAGGATGGCAATGATCTGCAAGCCAAGGATGAGAAAGGCCGCAGTCCTCATGGCCCAGGGGTACCCGGTGCTCTGGATCATGCGACTAATCATGATGGGGAAGATGACGCTGCTGACTGATGAGCCCATCACCATGATGCCCATAGCGGCTCCGCGCTTCTCGGAAAACCAGGTGGAGACGCAGGCAAGCGCTTCGTCGCACAGGACTCAGTCAGCATGGAACACTCAAGAGGGGATAAGTTAAACTTGCCAGGCAAGTATAAACATGCAACGCCAATGGCACTGCACACTCCCTGGGACAAGATGAACTGATAGTACGTCTTCGCCAACAACGCCATCATCAGCCCAAAGACGTGAAGAAGCGTCCCGCCAATAATGAGCGGCCTCGGGCTGTAGCTGTCAAATATTATGCCGATGACAGGCCCTAAGGCGAACAGGAAGAACAGTTAGAGCAACAGAATCCAGGCAATGGTGCTGCTGGAGTAGTCTTTCAGAGGTCCAGCCTCGTAATACTGCTGGAAGCTGCCCACGCCTGGTGGAAGAGCATTGCTATTAGTCCATCGCGTCGCTGCTGGATGCCACGTAGCGGGAACCTAGGAGGCACTGGGAAGAGGGAAAATACGTACTGTTGATCCAGCCCGGGCTGGAGAAGGAGCAGCACCACGCGCCCAGGACGACCAACGATGCAGCAGCGCCGCCATCAGGGGGGCCTGTGTCATCTAATTTTGTGGCATCGCCTGGCTTGTCGCCGGGAATTGGCTCTCTGGCGTCTTTGGGGACGGTCTTCAGCTCGTGCATGGGAGTGGTATTCTCGGCGTTGTCCGTGCTAGCCATGGTTAAACACAACTGAAAAAAGAAAAATCAAGCAATTAATCAAGTGCAAGAAACATAAGATTACAACCCTGGGAACCGATTTCTATACATATAGGTCCTGGAGGCGGCGGATATTAATACTGGCCGTGCGGAGGGTCAAGCAACCCATGATTGGTGCTTCGCGGTGGACAATATAAATAATGCTCCGCGTCAGAGACTATATTGAATGAAGATCTCTCTCTCTCTCTCTTGTTATACCTTCAGCCTTTTCATCGTCCGCACGATGGGTCCCCCTGACAGATCTACAGTCCTCCTTCGCTTTCATCCTGGCCGCCGACGCGACAAGCGGCAGCTTTCTTGCAATTCTTGCCGCCAGCGAAAGTGCGTTTCTCCTGCCTGCTCCAATAGATAGAGCTAACGCAGCGAACAGGCGAAAGTGTGACCGCGGAAAACCTTGTTCCTATTGCATTGTAAGTTGCACGTCTACGGAACGACTCAAAGCTTACAACATCATAAAATGTCGTCGATCAGAAACACCACCTCGAGCCGACGTGTACTTACGCTGTCAGCGGGCCATGCGGGTTGGCGACGCCGAGCAGCTCGGTTTCCGTTCCATCAGCAGAGGCTCCAGATTTGAAATTAACCAAGTCCAGAACTGGCTTTAAAGAATCAACCCACTGGACCTCTGTTCTGAGTGGCGTGACAGAGGCGGAGGACCAAGGCGCGATGCAATCGGAGACTGCATTCGACGATGGTTCATCACCACTCGAGCAGAATGTCCTCCTCTTTGAAGGATGCAAACACGCCACTGACCAAGAACTCCTCGATTCGATGCCGCCCAGGAGAGAATCCGACGGCTTGGTCGCACTCTACTTTCGGGCTCAGGAATACCGATGTAGGTGTGCACGCAACGCGGGATAAGAGCGCACTCACGCATCCCTGCTGACGCTGGATCTAAACAGCTGTAATACACCCGACTGAGTTCTTGAAGAGAGTAAGTTCTCAACATACCACTAGGAGAAGACTAAGCACTAACCTCGTTGATCAAGTATAACGCGTTCTGGGAGAATCCTAGCGCTACATCCGTCTCCTGGCTCGGCCTCTTGTACAGCATCTTCTGCCTCACTAGCCAAGTTCAGAGCCAGGAGAGCGGCCTCTCGAGAGCCCAGAACAACGCGCCATCCGTCTGGTCACCCACAGCCTTGTATAAGATACTGGGCTATCGAGAAAAGGTCGTCCAGTGCCTCGTCCGAGGTCAGTTCGCCAAGGGGGGCCCTGACATTATGGAAACCCTTGTTCACTACTCTTGATCGAGAGCTACTTGAACAGGGACTCTAACATTGGAGTCTGGCTCTTGATGGGCAACATTGTCCAGATAGGTACGTCGTCATGCTCGTTCCTCTAGCACCCAAAAGAAGCCCCCCACCCCCAGATCTCTCTGAAGGAAGGCTGCTAAGAGACTTGAACAGCTATCCGCATGGGCTATCATCGAGACCCGCAGCACTTCAAGTCCCTATCCCCCTACCAGGGCGAGATGAGGCGCCGGATGTGGGCTATGATATACTCGCTTGACATAGGATTCTCAACGCAGATGGGCCTTCCGAGCAGCATCAAGCACTCGCTCAGCGACACTATGCCGCCTCGAAACCTCCAGGACCGCGACTTTGACGCCAGCTCGACTGACCTGCCGCCCGAGAGACCCATCGACGAACTTACCTCGAGCACCGTGATCCTCGCCAAGCTTCACGTCGCCACCAGGATCGGCGCCGTATCAGACTTGGTCTGCAATCCTCACCCGCTATCATACGAGACCCTCGTCGCGGCGAATTCAAAACTAGACGTAACTTATGCGACCATTCCCGACCCATGTCCGAATCTCTTCTGGACCCTCCAAGCGTCGTATTTCAGGTCAGTGCCGTGGCTCTCCCTTGCAGAAACACACTCGCATCCAGAAGAATCCCTCACACTTGTAACCAAAAAGAAAAACCATCTACACTACTGAATCCCTAGCTATATACACAACCTAGCAATAGACAGAGACGGAGCTGCTAACATGCCCTTCGTCCCCAACAGCAGATAAACTTTTACATGCATTACCAAAGAGCCCGGATCCTCGTCAACTGGAAGTTTCTCGGTACCTCGAAGGATACGACTGGCAGCAACCAGTGCTGGAGTATCGTGATCGAGGCAGCCTTGGAGATCATGCGGCTGCAGCACCGCATGGCGGAGGAGTACGAGGTCTTGGACGCGTCCCGCCCTACTGGTATGGTCGACTCGTGTTTCATAAATAATGGGTACTTTCTAGCCGCAAGTATTGCATGTTTCCTTGTGCAGCATCGCAAGGACAGGCTGTCGGCCCAGGAACTGTTGGAAGTGCGAAGCCTGCTGGAAAAGAGCCTAGCCATCTGGAGCCGCACAAACGACTTGTCCAGAGAAGCAAGCAAAGTAGTCACAGCTCTGAGGGTCGTACTTGGAAAACCCGAGGAGCCCAGTACACATTCTACAATAGAAGCAAGAGCGTCGCGTCGAGCAGGCGGAGGTGAGAACCCAGATCATCCTCCCAAAGATCCGGATCTAACTAAGCTTGCGCGCGCCGTCCCAGATACGTTTGGCAGAAGTCAGATGGCGTTTTCTAGTTGCACCTCTTTATTTGATGACCTGCCTTTGTTGATGACAGACGTCGACACTGCGACGTTTCCTTCAATGCCCTCGATTCCCATTCTAGACTACTGGCCGCAGGTAGATGGGAGCATTTAGAGCTCTAGGTGTCGAGATGAGTACTAGCTAACGCGTGTGCCTCCACGGCACCTTGTGCTTCAATGAACTTGTTTACCTACGGAGCTTCACAAAGTATCACTCCTGGAAACAGCCTACCAGCTCTGTCATAGAAGCCTTGCCTGAGCTTCAATTCGAAGCAATATGTGGGCAGTGGGTAGATACGAACTCCTGGGCTCAACATTAGCTTTATATTTTTCTACATCTATAACTGGGCTCATCATCAGTCACATTACAGGTATTTCAGGTGCTTAGCTTGGACGATCCCCCTGCGATACTGACGGACCTTATTAGAGTTGAGTCATTAGACCATATACAGGTCACCATCCCCAGGCTACCAGCAAAGCATAAGCACCCACTGCCCTTTTTACCTAGCACTCCTCAGTCTACCGAAATCCCTCACTGAGCAACTGGTATTCTATTGGATTGGTCAACTACCACTACTGTTACATAGCCAGGACTCGTTGCTACCTGTATATCCCTGTGTACAGTTGCATGCAATATTTAATTGAGCAATTTCTACAGGTATTATTCAAATATCATTCCTGATATGATCAGCACCTGTGGCGCGGCGCTGAGAGATTTATATTGTCTCAGTGTAGAACCTTGAAAGACAGCCAATCAGGGCATGAGCTAGTGCCGGATAAGATGATGTCCTAGAGTAGCTAGGTAGTAGGAGGGGGGAAACAGGGATAATTCCAAGTTTGCTGGTCAAGCACTGGCAGATGGGTTATAGACCACAGAGACAGGCTTGAGAGTGATAGCCAGGTCAAAACCTCACAAGTCTCCTGTCTCCTTACTCTGCCTTTTTCAGATAACCCAGAAACACACAAATATCAGCTAAGAACACATATTCAAGCTCAATCCTCACCATGACGAACAGAAACCTCAATAAAACCTGGCGAGATGTTGTCTTTGATCAGTACGCTGCTGATTTTAATGCTGACGTTCCATTCCCTCTTCGCTATCTTATCCACACTCCTGAGCGGAAGAAAGATATCTTTATTGAAATCCCAACCAAAATCCCTGTCACGACCTTCCGCTGTTCTATCTTAACGTTTTTCCGTGCAAAGCACCTTGAGTCCGACCCAACTTACCAAGACGAGAATATCTCTATTAGAGCTCGTGTATCTTTCTTCGAAAGACAAGTTCAAGAAGCCGACAACCAACATGATGATCTGGAATCCCAGGATCCTCCTACCATTGCTGGTGATGCTCGGGACCGCCGCTAGAGTATGGGACTTTGTCATCTATGCTGATGGGGACTGTGAGACTAGTCTAACAGCGCACTATAGTGGAGGTGGCAATCAGTTATGTACTGCAAACCCGTCTAGTCACCGGGATTTGAGATTAGTAACATAGGTCGTTTTGTAATGGAGGAAGACTATAACAGCCTTAATTGGCAGTAAGAATATAATGCTGGGAACGAGGGTGGCTGTATCCCTCCATAATTCATTTGGGACTACTATGAAATTAGGCTGCTAGTTCTAATACTGAGCCTGGGTTGTTGTTTGTTCGAGGGAAGGTTAATGCCATGAGGATATCTTTTTTGTGTACTTATTCAACGTTGCTACTCACTAAGCGCTTACATGCAGCCCTTGTAAAAGTGGCAGCACCCATATCAGGTAATTAGACAGGACTTGCAGAAAAACAGTTCACTTATACACTACCCCACAACTTTTTTGGGGAACTTCAGCAACCCCACATTTCAACCCCACACGATCAAGAGAGATCAACCAATCCTCTTGAGATGGTAAACATACATCTTTGGCCTATCAAGCTCGATCAATCTATTCATACCCCTCTCTGGGCAATCAGCCTATCCCATCCTCCATTCGAATCGGTTTCTCCGCAAATGCCGTCAGAGGCAAGTTTGTTTTCTGGGGAATGGAGGCAGACAGGAAGTTCGGAATGTTGATCAGCCGAGAGTATTTTTCACCTATTTGCTTGTGCTCGGTGGGAAGTCGCCCGAGCTCATGGAAGATGTCATACTCGGCTGAGGAATCGGCCTTTAGAAGAGAGGCACAGTATATGAAAAAAGGAATATAGATGTACTTGCCGCTTCCAGCATCGAGTGAGCCTTAGGCCTGTTCTTGATAGTAGCAGTCGTGGAGATGCACTTCCTATCTTTTTCAGCCCTTGCAGAGATTGCTCTGCTGGCAGCAGTCTGCACTGCCCTTCCATACGAGGAGTACATCTTAGCACCAGCCACTCGAGAGCTGGTTCCGGACAGGGTGTATCACGTCAACGGCTCCATTTCTAACCCCTCTGCTTTAACCAATGGAAAAGGTGGGAGAGCGACTTTCCACAGTGTCTCATCCATCACTTATGACTTTGGGCGCAACATCGCTGGTATTGTCTCGCTGGACATCAGCCAGGTTTCGTCGGAGGATGCCTTCATCGGAGTCACGTTCTCTGAATCTAGACTCTGGATCAACAATGAGGCTTGTGACGCAACTGCCGATGCAGGTCTTGACTCACCGCTGTGGTTTCCTGTCGGACTTGGCTCGGGACGATACACAGCAGAGAAGAAACACAACCGCGGTGCTTTTAGATTTCTGACTCTCGTCGCCAACACATCCGCGACTATTGCTGTTGAAAGTGTCCGAGTGAACTTCACGGCGGCCCCGGCTCAAAACCTCCGGGCGTATACGGGCTACTTCCACTGCAACGATGAATTGCTCAACCGCATCTGGTACGCAGGCGCATACACAAACCAGCTGTGCACCATTGATCCCAGCATGGGGGATGCGTTGCCCTGGCTGGGCACGATTAACTCTAGCGACAACATCACCCTCCCGGAGACTGTCGCCTGGTGGAGTAACTATACCATCGCCAACGGGAGCAGCGTGCTCACGGACGGAGCGAAGCGGGATCGTCTGATCTGGCCGGGTGACATGTCCATTGCGCTGGAGAGCGTCGCTGTCAGCACGTATGACTTGTACAGTGTGCGCGTGGCGTTGGAAACACTCTTTTCAATGCAGCAAGCGAACGGCCGTCTTCCTTATGCGGGCAAGCCTTTCTTCGATATCGTCAGCTATACCTACCATCTCCACAGCCTGATCGGCGTCTCGTACTTGTACCGGTACTCAGGGGACCTGAACTGGCTTTCTGCACACTGGAGCCAGTACAAACGAGCCTTGCAATGGTCATTGTCCAGCATCGACGACACGGGGCTAGCCAACGTAACCGCAAGCGCGGACTGGCTGCGTTTCGGGATGGGAGGCCACGTACGTTTGCGTCCCCAGCGCATATACTGCACCGCTGACACGTAGCAGAACATCGAAGCAAACGCAATCCTCTACTTCGTTCTCCAGGAATCTCTCATCCTCTCACAAACCCTCAACGATACCGCCTCCTCGTCAAACTGGACCCGCATCGCAGCGACCCTCAAATCCGCAGCCAACGCAAGACTCTGGGACGGCGCCGCAGGCCTGTACCGCGACAACGAGACTACAACCCTCCACCCGCAAGACGGCAACGCCTGGGCCCTCAAAGCCAACCTCACCCTCTCAGCCAACCAGTCATCTACGATTTCCGCCGCCCTAGCCGCACGCTGGGGCCCATACGGCGCCCCGGCCCCAGAGGCGGGGGATACCATATCCCCCTTCATCGGCGGTTTCGAGCTGCAAGCCCACTTTCTTGCGGAGCAGCCGCAGCGGGCTCTGGCCCTGATCCGGCGCCAGTGGGGATTCATGCTTGACGATCCGCGAATGACGCAGTCGACGTTTGTAGAGGGGTACTCGACGGACGGGGCGTTGCAGTACGCGCCGTATACGAATGATGCGCGGATCTCGCATGCGCATGGATGGGCGACTGGTCCGACTGCGGCGCTGATGTTCTATGTGGGTGGGTTCCGGCTTGCTGGGTCGGCTGGGAAGGCGTGGGTGTTTGCGCCTCAGCCTGGGGACCTGAGGAGTGTTGAGGCGGGGTTTGAGACCTCTTTGGGGGTGTTTTCGTCGGAGTTCAAGAGGGGGAGGAGTGGTGGGTACATGAACTTGGTGTTTGCGACGCCTGAGGGAACGAGGGGTGATGTGAAGCTTGAGGCGGAGGGGATGCTGGTCTCGAGTAATGGGACGAGGGTGAGGCTTGTTGATGGGGTTGCTTCCGGTTTGCATGGTGGCACTTGGAGGTTGGAGAGGTTGTAGTGATGGTATTTCTGCTCATGTGTTTATTCATATTGAGATGGACAGAGGTAATTGATGTTGGACTCTGCTATCTCTACATTCAGCATGATACGACTTTGGGTTATATTCCACCCACAGGCCGTTTTCTTCTTTCCTTGATGATTTGGATCATACTTGAACAACACTCTACCCAAGGCTATTCAAAGCAGGTGTTGATCCTTTACGACTCACGCGATGCACGGCATAAACTGCTTAACGGTGTTCATCTTCTTCAATATGGGTCTGCCTACATTCAGATCCTCTGCTCGGCCATAATGACTGAGCATGGTATGAAATGAAAGATGCACGCATTACTACTAGAGTCAAGGACGATAAGATGTTACATGCTTACTCTATTCAGGGAAGAAATTATAAGAAATGTGCCTGTCCTGCAGTTGTTCTAAACTTGTCATTCTAATCTAATAAATTTAGGCATCGATGGAAGTGTTGGTGGGATAGAGATGCAGGATGCTTGAGGTCTGAGTTTGCTGCCAATATGAGGTAGATGACTAGGTACAAGGCGAAGACAATAGAGGGAGGATTAGTATTCAGACATTCCACCAACAACCGTGTCAGCTCGTAGCAATAGTCATCATAAGTAAATACTTCATATTCTTTTGCAGGAACCTCCAACTGAGTACGAAGAAGCGGCGTTCTGTATGACTTCATATCTCGGCCCTTCGTTCCGACAGTCCTCTCCAACCCTCAGCGGATGGATTACCACTGAATATTGCCATCTCAATCTATATCGTATCTTCAGGACTCCCCGGCCATTTTCACACATTACATCAAACAAGTGCGTTCTATCCAGAGACTCCTCTTCGATCGGCATCTGAATCCACACTTTCGATCCAACAAAATGACGACCGCAACCCCCAAGTAAACCCCCTCATGCTCCTCAACTGTTACGATACTAAGTGTACAGACCCATGACAAGCACGCTCTACAAGCCCCATCCCACCGACAAAATGAAAGCCGCGCAGTGGATGGGCACGCGCACCATCCACCTCGGCACCGTCGCCAAACCAACCATCACAGACCCCTCCGACGCCATCATCCACATCACACACTGCACGATCGGCGGCGCAGACCTGCACCTCTACGACGGCGAGCTCAGCGACTCCCTCTCCAAAGGCGACATCCTCGGCCACGAGGCGATCGGCACCGTCGAGGACGTCGGCCCGGAGGTCCGCAGCATCGCCCCGGGTGACCGAGTCATGATCCTCCCCGTGATCGCCTGCGGACACTGCGAGTTCTGCACGCGGCAGGAGTTCTCGCTGTGCGACACGACGAATCCCTCGCGGGAGATGGAGAGCGCGTACGGACACCGGGTGGCGGGCATGCTGGGGTACACGCGGTTGTACGGCGGGTATCCCGGCGCGCAGGCGGAGTACGTGCGGGTCCCGAACGCGGATCTGTCGTGCGTGCGGGTGCCGGCCGACATGGACGCGAAGAAGCTGCTCGGGCTGGCGCATGTCACGGCCGCTGCGTGGCATGGGTGCGAGCTTGCGGAGGTCCAGCCGGGGGATATCGTGGGGGTCTGGGGGTGTGGACCGGTGGGGCTCTCAGTGCAGCGGCTTGCGGTGCTGCGCGGGGCGGAGAAGGTGTATGCCGTGGACAAGGACGCGGGGCGCTTGCGGATCGCCGAGGGGTTCGGGATGATCCCCGTTGATGTGAGCGTGCACACGGAGGTGGGGGATCATATTCTGTCGATGGAGCCGAGGGGGCTGGACTGCGCGGTGGAGGCGAGTGGGTTTCGGAGTACGCAGAAACCGCAGCATGCGGCTATGCGGGCGGTTGGGCTCGAGCATGATAGCGGTGACACGGTGTCGGCGATGATCAAGGCGACGAGGAAGGGGGGGCATCTTGCGCTGATTGGGGATTTCTTTTACAGGACGAATGATTTTCCTATAGGGCCGTTGATGGAAAAGGGGTTGACGATCCGGGGAGGGCAGGTCAATTCCCAAAAGGTATGCCAGTGCCACATCCTCAGATTGAATGACTCTGACGGTGATAGTATCATCCGCTTCTCTTGGACCTGGTAACACAAGGAAAGTATGATCCTTCGTGGGTGTTTACATACGAAGGTATGTCTGCCACTGTCTACTTGCTGTGGCTGTGGCTGTGGTTGACTAGACAGATGAATTCGAGAATATCGCCGAAGACTATCGCCGGTTCTCACGACATGAGATCCCTGGGGGGCTGAAGGTGTGTTTGGTGACGGAGTACGGTCGCGGTCAGGAGTGAAGCTATTTAGCTTAACTATCGAATATGATCGGCAGTAAATACTAGCTGCAACTGTGGAGATAAACTCCATAATATCTAGCTAAAGATTGACAAGAAATTGGTCAGGATGACAGATGACTCATGATCTGACCTCAGCTGCATTATATTTATCACTTATTATAATAACATCCTATACTCTTCAGTCTTCAGTGTCCCCACCTCAGCCTGCTTACTTCTGCACTCTGCAGTAGGCGCAGTATATTACCCCGCCATCCCTCATCCTCGACATCATCCCTATCCCTCACTCTACCAACACATCTACTCACCCCGCCTCAAGCTACCAACAATGTCATTCCCTCCTCCCCCCATTGATACCATCGACTGGTCCAATGTCGGCTTCAAAGTCCGCGACGGTAAGCTCTGCCCCATCCCACTTCATCCCATCTAACAAACAAAGTAAACGGCCATGTGGAATGCCACTTTTCTCACAGCACCGGCGGCAAATGGTCGGCCCCCAAATT